GAATGGATCAAACGAATCCGTGAGCACCGACGGACACAAACCAGCCTACGTTGAACCTACAGTCGATAGTACAGATCCCGTTTCCTCCCCTCAGCATACACCCGACCCTGACTCATTAGTCCCTACCTAACAACACACTGACGCTAGTACAATGAGCCCTCTGTGCCAACGGACTAACAAGCAGCTCCACAGTCACACACGTTCTGGTCGTGTTGTTTTCCTTCCAACTAGGCTTGCAAAATACGTTCCGTAGGCACTATGTCGAGCTTTTCCTTAGTGCACGCTTTAGGGGGAGTACTGTAGCGATTGTAAATAATGTGCTTATTTTTCATTTTCACGTTGTCTATTTCGCTGCAGTTGTTGTACAGCTTTGTTTTAATTAACTATATATACATACACTTGGTTTCGAGCTCCTCTTCCGTGGTTCTACCTTGGTTGCTGCTTGATTGTTGTGATTGTGCGCGTCGCTGTCTGTTCTATTCACGCTCTGACACTACGTACATGTACACTTCATCATACCTCGCGATTTACGATCATCCGATGCTTAGGCGCATCTGGATATTTTATGTGTGAGGTAAATCTGACTGACTGAGTATTCTCCTTTGCCGGTTCCTCCATACAGTGCGAATTCTTCTGTGACTCCATGACTTCTTGAAGTTCAACCGATTTCTGTTTTAGACGTCTCTTCATTATCGACATCAATTCATTTCTCTTCAGCAATCATCCGTAATGCCGGAAGGCTTGCGCGCGAAACTCACCATTGCTTTTAAACCTTGTAGCGCCTTGACGAATGCTACACAAGAAAACCGTAGCCCAGTAAGACAGAAGACGGCAAGATATTAAGAATGTCTTGAGAAAATAGCTATGTACAATAGCTATGTGAATATAGCTTGAGGACAATGGGAGAAAATGGTGAAGCAATGAGTAACACCACGTAGGAGCGCAACAGCCGGCAACGCGCGGGCAAGATGGCGGACCTGGTTCAAAAATGCAGTCCAGTATATATAGGCTTTAGGCGGGTGCAAAGTAAAACAAAATGTGTACAAGTCTGAATGTGATGTTTGATGGAGTAAAATGTCATGGTCACTACACAGGCCTCCCCCTAGAAGGCCGAGGGACGGGGACTTCGATCGCTGTTGGCTTGCAAATGTATAAAGGCAGAATCACAGGAGTTCGGTTGTATTTGGATTATTTAATCTTCTTGTGGATTGGGATGCATCGTCTGTGGGCCGTCCCAGCGGGCACACCGGACTACAAAAAAAACTGGCTAATCCAGAAAAAGGGCCGGTAGGACCTTTCACCGCTGCTGAAAGACGGTGCGCTTGGGAGAGGTCACTCCCCCCACCGCATTCCAATCCACTGCCACAACGAAGCTGAAATCCTGCTCGCTACGGGCGAGTCGTGGGGGACCAAACAACGAGCCAAGCACACGAGCAGCCAAAGCCAGGAAGGCGAGCCAGACAAACGACCTGAGCAAGCCAAATCGAGCCAAGCAGACCACGATCCAAAGGCCAACGTGGGCGGGCGAGACGACAAAGCGTTAGGGGGTGAACCAAAGCATCCAAAAGACCAAACAATAAAGAAACAGCCAACCATTGAACGGACGGACCCAAACGTGCCAGCCTCATGACTATACCTGATAGATGGGGAAAAGCTCGGGGAGACAGATTCAGATATTTACGGAAAAGCATAATACAAACAACGAGAGAAAATGAAAAATATTCATGAGATGTGGATGAATTCGACAAACTCGGAGAAACGAACAGGTTTACGAACTCTTCTACCGTGACTGGTATTAGGTTGAGGCGAATCTGGTGACTGGGATTGTGGTGGAGCTGAAAAGCTGGGTGTCGTTACAGGAGGCTCTGTAGATTACGTTAAGGTCGATGATGCAACAAACTGTTGCTCATCGATGAACGCAGGCCTGACGCGATCTATCGAGACAGTATCCCTTTTACCCCCACGGTCAATCACCAAAGTTTTTAAAGGGGCGATTTGGACGACTACGGCCGACGGCGTTCGTCGCCAATACGTGTCGGCCTGTCCTTTTTCTCGTTACGGGAAATGAGCATGGTTTTATACAATTTCTAGCGGAACTTCCAAAACGTGCGTGATAACGGCAAATTGGGAGTCGTGTTCGTCTTCGGGATGGGCTAGGGGAACGAGATGGAGAATCCCGTGGGTGCTGATGTAACTTTAAGTTTTCAACTTCTTGCCGTAGCGCGGCTATCTCTGCTAAGAGCTCACCAGTCGAAGTTGGAGTAGCAGTGTCGATGATTTGGACCGAAAGGTCAACAGTAAAACCTACATCAGGTGAGCGAAGAGAACTAGGTGACGGACAAGGTGGTCCGGTAAGGCGCTCTATCATGTCATCAGCAATATCTGCAACTTCTGACAAAGGCTGCGATTTCGCAAGCGATAACATAGCTTGTACGTTTTCAGGCAAACGCTGAAGCCATAACTCTCGAAGCAGCGACTCGTCCATATGCAATCCTTGAAGAAGACCACGCATCTCTAGCAATAGCGCGGATGGCTTACTAGAACCTAGCTGTAGACCAGTAAAAAGTTTATGCAGGCGGGACTTCAATGAGGGAGTAACACGCTTTATTACCGCGTTCTTGAGAGAATTATAGCGGTCAGGAGGACAAGATGTAATGATAAGATCACGTAGTGCTAAAGGAATATCAGTCGGCAGGCGTGTTAGCAAGTGACTAAACTCTGCAGAGTCATTGGTAACATGCTTAGAAGTAAATTCAGCTTCTAAAATCATGAACCACAAAACGGGATCCTTTTCAATAAAGGGTGGAACTACGAGAGATACCGCTTGCACAGGCTGTGGGTCCTCACAATTTTTAGAAACTGAGGTCATGGTTTGCGTGGAAAAACCAAAAAATGGAACGAACTCACCGAAATCCGATTGGGGTCACCAATTATGTAGCGCATTGACGAAAGCTACACAAGAAAACCGTAGCCCAGTAAGACAGAAGACGGCAAGATATTAAGAATGTCTTGAGAAAATAGCTATGTACAATAGCTATGTGAATATAGCTTGAGGACAATGGAAGAACATGGTGAAGCAATGAGTAACACCACGTAGGAGCGCAACAGCCGGCAACGCGCGGGCAAGATGGCGGACCTGGTTCAAAAATGCAGTCCAGTATATATAGGCTTTATGCGGATGCAAACTAAAACAAAATGTGTATAAGTCTGAATGTGATGTTTGATGGAGTAAAATGTCATGGTCACTACAACCTTCACATGAGAATTTCAACCTACAAATCTTGCGCCACGGTCAATCGCCTGTTGCACACATACAGCCAAGGATTAAAACCATAAAAATCGTGGTTATGCGCCAGGTTACATTCTCCAATCTAATAAACCAGACTATACAAAATGAACGGAAATCGCGCATGCCAAGAGAAATCCCTGTTTCTGCAGGCAATACGTATCGGCACATAATTAACCATCACTTACCCATTGGCAGTGAGGTTTGTACGAGTGCCGTGCACACATCGGAACCGCACATGGCGTTACGAATAGCCCTCCGGTACTTCCACAACACTCCCTTGAAATCCCCTTAAAACCACTGTATGCCCCTAGAAGGAGGATGTTGTTTCCAGTTGGAATTTTTCACATCAGCTACCAAACCTTAGCGTTTACAATAAAAGCGGCGAACAATGCGATCAAAGTATCCGTAACGGTCTACCGATGCCACGAGTGTAACGTGCGTGAGGTGCACCACTCTTATACTGTAGCTCTCCAAAACCGCGCTTACAAGAACTTTAACCATCCACTCTGTTGTGCTTGTCCATGCTTATTATTGTTAGTACAATGGTTCTACTTCAATTTTTAGTACCCTTCATTGGCACCATGTGAAGCGCCCTGGCGTACCTGACCACCAAGGTCCAATTATCTGACTTAATGAAATGTGGGGAAATCAGTCTCCGAGGTCACCCGTTGAAGCTGCACAAACTGCGTGCTGACAGGGTAAGGAGGAAACCTCGCTTGTCGTGCCAGGTTATTAAACGTTGAAACACGTTAGGGAGTCACTGGTTGTGGGTTTCCAGCGCCAGTTACCTGCTGTTGGGTGTCAGTACCAAACCTCCCCATTCTCCTAACTGACTTTTATCTACAACTATCCATTCGTTATGTTAATTTCTTCGCCTACCTTGATATTAGCCTTATCAAGCAAAAATTTCTCTTACTATTTTCTTAACTTACCCTTATTCTCTTACCACACTTTAAACGGCCTGTCAGGGACTGCTGGGCAGGAAATTGTGGGTGGTAATTAGTTGGACAGGATGTTATGCGGCATTTGTTTCAAGCTTTGCATCCTCTCAAGCAAACCTATCAACTACCGAGCATACTATAGTCAAAACAAGGAATATAAACAAGATTATCCTTTCTTTCCCGTCCGTAATGAACTTAAGTTGACCTGTCCTAACCAGATCAACTCCGAAAACCAGTTGTTAGTAGAAATAGTAAGTTCCACTATATTTCACATTTTATAAATATTATAAGCGTTTGAACAACTAAGCATTTATTTTGCTACCTGGATCATAGAGCTACTTTTAGTTTTTGTTAATTGATAACAGCGGCGGTGGCAGGCAGCGTAACTACGAAAACAATTACGAAAAAATTTAGAAGTACATTGTGCTAACAGAGGAGTTAGGGCCGTTAGTGCAATTGTACGGAAGCACAACGCGCAGAGGAGGCCAGGGTATGGAATAAAAATTTAATAAAAGCATGAGAAACATGAATAAATCTGCGTACTAAGGACCAAAATACAAAAGGGTTGTTACACAAGTTATGAATATTTGTGATTTTAGCATCAATTAAAAACGGACAGGACCAAAATACACATAATTACAAACAGCATAAATCACATATTTCTCATTTTACTATAGTGAATGCATATTTTAGATTACTATTAATGTGAGTTCTTTCTATGATGCAGGTCGAAAAAATTATTGTGTTGTACGCGAAATGCTACCCGTCTTACACCTCTGTTATTAAGCTGGTCAGATGAATTTTTCATTCAGTATCGGGGATGTTCTGCCGGATGAATTAACCTGTATTAGATCGACGACTGCATTGTATAGCACTTTCCGCAACAATTTAACGTGCAAACACAAAGAGGAACTATCCGAAATTATTGACAAAATGGGCGCCAGCTCAGCCACTGTAGCTGACATATACTCTAAATTAAAGCTTTAGGCACAAAGTCTACCGCGTATGGTGACAACATGTAACAAGTTTTGGGGTTCTGGACACTCAATATTTATTCTCTCAAACATCCACCAAAACATGTAAATATTTATTACTGGTATGATTTTCCAAGGTGAATTCAGGGTTTTCGGGATTTTGAAAGTGGGAAGGAAAAGGCTTTTCTTACATGATGAAAGAGGAATTTACACAGAAGCGGAGCCCTTATGCATCTTAGATTTCTATGTTCATGAGTCAGTTCAACGAAGGGGTTTCGGAAAGAAACTTTTCGACTTCATGCTGCAGGTATGATGAGCGCAGTACATCCATTGTTTGCTCTTAGGGCTGTTTGTAGATACCTTGAGTGCCTCTCGCTTGATTACAACTACTGCCGGTGTAAATATTTAGTGTCTATAGGCATCACCACACACATTTTTATTGCTTCCGTAAGATGCTTCTATAGTTGTCGAAATGTTGGTAACTCCCTACACCATAAAGTTGTTTATGTAGACATAGATGATAACTATCTAGACACCAGTACACACCTTCATTAGTTATTGGTGTCCTGCCCAACTACTATGCAGCTATCGAGTAAGCTGACTAGTATCTGTGCAGCGTTCGAACGTTTTGCACATGTTTAATGATAAATTTACTGTTTCACAAATGTACTGTCCTTCATATGTTTTCGCTTTTATCGTAAACACCTGTAGGTGTCTGATCAGTTAAACTGCATGTAACCATGGATTACTGTCGTCGTTTGTACCACTAGGTAGTTGCCTTCAAGCATACTTTGCTTTAGTTACTTATCGCCTCCATGAACGTCTATGTAGGCGAAGAAGCTTTATACAATTTCATACCTTTACTATAAAGTGCTACATTACGTCTATTGCCACGGCGTGTGTGAGCAACATAATCATTTTGCTGTGCTTCCACTAATAATCAGTGTGTACGACGTTTTGCTATTGTGTACCTGGCGTATTCAACATCATTATACACGTCAGCTAAAGTTGAGAAGCACCATTGCTACTGTGCCGCATTATAGAGAATGAAGGAAAATAAATACAACAGTTGCATGCCAGCTGAGCTACCAGCAACAGATAGGCATCGCTCCGGTAAGTTACCAATCGGCTACTAGGCAAAATGAAAAATTATTATCTTTTACGCTACGAAATGAGATCGTAGATGAAGGGGAGGCCAAAAGAGATGGGAAGGGACAAAGAAACTCACAGCAGGAACGCCACTGAGGTCAGTTGCTTGGCATGTCAGCAAGTGTATCCAGCCAAACGTGTTCATCGTTGTTGGACCCCAACAAGAGAGCCATGACGCTACAACCGGGACCAGCTCCGAGGTGTGGGCCTTCATTCCTCTGGACCGATTCATCGCTTGGCCACCCCTCCTCTTCTTCCATTCACGTCCCCGGTGGGAAAACAACGCACGTCGTGGAAGTCCGTGGGCTGGCATGCGCAACACGTGGCCCAGCCATCTGAGCCTGGTGCGTGAAATGACGCTGTTGTGCGGTTCAGTTCCTTTGTTGTACCGTTAGCAAGGCGTCGAACACGCTCGTTGCTCACGCGGTGTTCCAACCAGATGTGAGCCAAACTGCGAAGGCACCGGTGGTCGAACGTGACTAAACTCTTTATGTCCGCCGATCTTAGGGGCCAGCTTTCACAACCGTACAGTAAAGTCGAACGTACCGCTGCATTTTACACCCTGTCATTCGGGGCGAGAGTAAGGTCGCGCCGCAGCCGTAGGTGGCTAAGGTTCTTAAAACATTTCGAGCTATTTCTATACGGTTTGTGACCTCGTCTTCCATCCCAAGGGCGATGATACAACTTCCCAGGTAGTTGAATTTTTAAACGACTTCTAGCTGATCCCCAACAAGGGTCAGCGCGGGAGGCGATCCCTGCCAACCTTGGAGGAACGCTATGCATTTTGATGGTGCGAAGCAAAGCCCGAAGCGGCTGACAGCCAGTGCTGCTCTGTGCAGTACGGCTTTGCAAGTGTGTGTGCTGTCGCAGATTAGGGAAATGTCGTCTGCATATTCTAAGACAAGACGTCGTTCTCCTGGGAGTAGCTCCACACTTTCTAAGTCATGTCCTGTAAATGCAATCCCCATGACTTCCTCAATAGCGAACTTGAAGAGGAAAGGTGACAGCAGGTGTCCTTGTGTCACACCGCTGCAGAAATAGAAGGGTGGCGACAGCTTGCCGTAAGCCCACACTCTACCTGAGATACGCTCGTTTAATGATTGGAAAATGTTTACAAAATTCTCGGGCACACCTTTCCTGAGTAGACAACACCGAAGGGCACATTGATCAACCGAATCGAAGGCGCCTTTGATGCCGAGGAAAATGACCACTGTGGGCCGCGAATATGTGTGACGTTGCTCCAACCACTGACAAAAGGTAATGATGTGGTCGATGCAGCCACGACCACGACGAAACCCGGCTTGCTTCTCACGAATGCGGAGATCCCGAGCGCCCGTCAGTATGTGATGGATTATGGAGACAAGTAATTTGGAGGCGATGAAGAGCAGACTGATTCCTCTACGGTAGCCGCATAACAAACGCGTGCCTCCGTCGAAGACGGGAACAATAACGGAGCGGCTACAGTCGGTTGGGACAGTCTCCTGCTCCCATAGTTTCACTGGTAATTCATGTAAAGCATCAACAAGAGCAGAGCCTCCGAATTTAATGAGTGATAGAGGAGAATCACCTGGTCCCACGGCTTTCTTCAACTTCAACAATTCGATCTCACTTCCGACTTCTGAGCGAGAAGGTGGATCAAAAGAGACAACCCACGGAGCCGGGCGATCACTGGCCGGCGACGAATCGAAAAATGCTAGGCAATTAAATTGCTTTTTAAAATGTTCAGCCCAACGCTCCAAATGTTTTGACAAATTGTGGGTAGGCTGTCCACTCTCGCCAAGTATATTTTCACTAACACCAGGTATCCTGCTTCCCGTTTCTCGTATCAGACGGAATAACTTACGTTGGTTGCCAAGAACAGCGGCCACTTCCATCGCTGACAAACGATGAGACAACTAAGATTCGCAGTCTGTCTTCAGACTAGCACGGTATCTTGCTCGGAGCACTTTGCGAGTTTCATTGAGTTTGCTTCCAGCCGGGATATGCCGGCGAGCGTCGATAAATTCCAGAGACCGCGTAGAGACCCAATATCCATGTTGGCTATTAGACATCACATGGGGATTTGTCTGTTGCAAGCAAGGTCTGGTGAGCATGTGACCAGTGACCACCAATTGTCTTCAGTGAGCGCTTACTCAACTCGCATGCCAGCGAACTTCGATACGCATTCAGAACACCTGGCTTCGTAAGTTGGCTGCTGTCAATTTGGTCACAACATCGTCGTGGGCGTCCGCCAAATCGTATAGGCAGGTCAGCACATACAAGAGCATGGTCGGTGTCCACACATGTCCTCCTAATCGAGTGACAGTTCTGGACGCAGCCTCTCCATCGGTAAATTATCGCAATGTGATCGATTTGCGTCCTTAGCTGGTTCGAGGCTGGCGGGCGCCAAGTCAACCTCCGGCGGGTGCTCCGTCAAAAGTTGGTGCTCGCAAGAAATAACGGACGTCTTCACACAAATGAAGTAACCGCTCTCCATTATCATTGCGAGAGCCTGCACCATGCTGGCCTCCCAGGTGCAACTCACCAGTGGATAATTTTCCAACTTGAATATTCAGATCTCCCGCCAGCACAACTGTGTCCGTGCTTCTTCTGTGGCGAAGTAGCTGGGTCAGTTGACGACAGAAGTCGTTGTTTATCGTATAATTGCTACAGTTTGTGGACGCGAAGGCAGCGATGATGAATAGACATCTATTAGTCCCACGCGACTTCGAAGCTTTGAACGAGCCAGCCAATCGGACCGCACTCATCCGGCTACTGATTGGAATCCAGTCAACCGGAGCAGCTTCAGCCCGGAGACTCAGGGCAATGCCAACACAAGCGTAACCTGTGCTCGAAGCTGCATCGGCAACGTATAGGCGTAATGAGAAAATACCGCTTGCCTCACCTGAAGGGGTTCGCAGAGTGAACACAAAGCTTGAGTCTTGCAGGCGGGTCTCCGGTAAGCAGCAGATATCGATCGAGAGGGTCTCTAGTGTTCGGGCAAGTGTTGCCTGTTGACCGATCTGTAGCCATGTGCGTACACTAAGGCATGCCAATCTGAAGGAGGATCGAGGGCTCCAAATGGAAGTCGATGAACTTGACTTGGTCGCTTGTTTGTACATGGGCTTGTCGACATGAGAGGAGTGACGCTCCGCGTTAGCATGTGAGTTGATATTAGAAGATAAGCGCCTAGCAAAGCATGTCGGGGGAGGGCCAGGAATTGTGTGGTTGCAAACTGGGGGGATAAAAGTGAAGTTGGAACGGGACGGTGAGAGATAAAATGCGTAGGATGATGAATAAGCAGACGGAAGGGCTTGAAGAGTAGCATCCAAACCCCTTTCCACTCTGCTCGATGCAGCAGATAGGGCACCGTTGATTATCATCTGCGGTGGCTAGGTCATCAAAAAACTGCTTGAAGAGTGCTCACTAAATACCACGTTATAAATTATTCAAATACAAATAGCAGTTACCTTGCAAATCAAGTTAAGACGTCTGTTAACTTAATATCTTTCGCTTTTCCGTTTAAGTCGGTTAAGTAAACTAATGTACAATATGTTTAATCAGCTCAACCACACGTTACGTTAGAAAGCGAGCTCCGTTTTCCGCCAAAATGTTTATTAATATGTAATATTATCGAGTAAAATAAAATGACTTGATGTACATCCGTATCTTTGTAGAACGTTTCGAATTTTGTGACTAGCTTTATAAAACTAAAGAAGCAGTGCGTTTAAGGACTGTGTATGCAGTCAGTATGTAGCGCCCAAAAAGATAACTCTTGTCTTTATGTACAATTTGATTTTTGACCAACTGTATATTATTATTTCTTGTTTTAATCGTCCTTACAACCGGCTCGACACTCGACAGCCTTGTAAGTTTCCGCTCTCACGGTTTCGCTCTCGTCTCGCTCCATCCGTCCGCTTCTTATTGTAGCCCATCGAATACAGTCCGCTGTGTCCGAATCCGATTGCCTTCTGATATCCTCGCTTAATTTCGCGCACCGTCTTGGATTAGTATTAACTAGTCCTACAAGTAGTGCTCTAAACAAATGGATTGTTTGAGTGCAATGACTGCAGTCAGATACCAATGAACCAAACTTGTTTTGAGGTGCCAAAACCTTTCATCATAAGCGTGATATATAAGGACGCACGATGTTCTAACTTACGCAGAAACAACAGCTTA